CCCACTATGGAGGTAATAGGACTTTTAAGAAAATAGACCTTATTTTTTAGAGTAGTTTCAGATTCACAGCAAAATTGAGTGGTGAGTACAAAAATTTCCCATATACCCGTTGCCTCCACACATGCATAGCCTCCTAGACTATCAACATCTCTCCCCAGAATGGTACATTTGTTACAGTTGATGAACTTACATTGACGTGTCATTATCACACAAAGTCCATAGTTTACACTGGGGGCAACACTCTTTTGAAGGTTCTAAGTCAGTGATCTCCCACAGTTTTGGCACCAGGGACTGGTTGCATGAAAGACAATTTTTCCACAGACAAGGTGGGGGTGGGATGGTAGGGGTTGGGAGTTGGGTGGTTTCAGTAGGAAACTGTTCCACCTCAGATCATCAGGCACTAGTTAGAGTCTCCTAAGGAGCATGCAGCCTAGATCTCTGGCATGTACAGTTCACAATAGGATTTGTGCTCCAATGCTAATCTAATGCCAGTGCTGATCTGACAGGAGGTAGAACTCAGGCAGTAATGCTTTCTGGCTGGCTGCTCACCTCCTGCTGTGCGGTCCTGTTCCTAACAGGCCATGGACCAGTGCTGGGGATTGGGGACTCCTGTTCTAACCAATGCTCCCTCTACTAAAAGGGATTTTCACTCTAGGTGATGGAAACACCAAGTGTTGCAAGCTCTGTGTGAGCTACAGAGATTATTCCTTTTGGGAAGTTATTTTCCCTGCTTTGCATAATTTCCTCAAATACATGTACTAATCAGTACTTAGCTGAAGATTGAAGACAGATATCCAAGGCATTCTGTCTGTGCAGCAATCTATTCTCTAGTCTGTCCTGTGATGTCTAGCCACCCTGACTTCTTCAAACTTACTACCAGGCTCTGCCTGGGTCCTCCCTCCCTGCTCTGCACTTGACAATCTCAGGCAGGAAACTGGAACAGTCACAGGACTCATCTCTTTTATTTTCTCTCTCTCAGGGATCACTGTACTGTACTGCACTATATCCAATGTTGAAGCTACAGTTTAAAATACCTTTTCCAGTTTCTTAGTTGTTTAAGGTGGAGGACAAATCTGGTCCCTATTACTTGGCCAGAAGCAGAAGTCTCCGTTCAATCTTTGTGGTCAGAAAGAACAGTACGACAGAAGGCAGCCTGTTAGAATGGGAAGACCCCTGGGCTAAGAATCAGAATTACCTAGGCTCTAGCCTCAGCACTGTGTTTACTAACTTTGTGCAAGTGATTGATCCTTCTTGAATTTCTGTTTCCTCATTTGTAAAGTGGGTCAAATCATAATTCCACGGCTGCTGTACAGATCGGTTGAAGTAGTGTCTTAATGTTCATGAGTGTATTTCTCTTTAAGGGTTATTTATTTATTTTCAAGTCCCAGTAAACTGTCCAAATCTTTTGGGGTAAGTTTAGCCACTGGATATAGTAGAAGCTGATGTTAGAAAAGTTGATTTATACTGGAATATTTTTCATAGAATCACCCCCAATTCTCACTAACAAACTGAGAAGAAGAGAAAAAGAATTACCACCAAGAACATTGGAGGAAGCACAGTGGGGACAGACTTGAAGGCACCTGGGCAGTCCTCTGGTTTTGGAGTAGAGGTAGGACAGGGCTATGTGTCCTCTCAGAGACTGGAGCAGGTTCTGTGTGTGAGTAGCAAGGGGACAAACAGTCATGGTCTTGGCAACCAGCCTGTGGCAGGAAGGAAAGTTACAACTGGAGAAGTCCAAAGGGCAGCCAGGCAAGTATTCTTTCAGCTGGGGAACAAAAGACATTTTAAACTTTTTGCTCTGCTTCAGGCAGCTGATGTCATGGTGATGATTCACCACATCAGGAATACCCTGTCCAGTGGGCCCAGGCAAGTCCGCCAGGCCACTTCTCTAAAGACACAACCTGAGGCCTCCTGCAAAAATTCTCACAGAGCATTCTGAACACACCATCCATGGGACTCCTTCTCTGTCTTAGTTGGAGCTTCTATAACAATGTACCATAAATTAGGTGGTGCCAATTCGTGATTTCCCGTCGGCCAAGTGCGTGGGCATTGATCTATAGGCGAGATTCTCCACCGTGGAATGGCTACTGCGGGGTGAGGGAGGGGCCTTCCGGTGTCCCCAGACACCCAGGCCTGGCAGGACAGGTAGGGCAAACCAGCTACTCACTTTGGTCCTGTCCAGAAGGGATCCCTTTCTGATGGGAAAGAAAGGCGGCGAGTTCTGTCCTGTTGAGTAAGCGGAAGAGAGATTAAAGGGAAGAGAAGAAAAATCCTGTGAGGTTTCAGGATCTAAAATTAACATGAAGTCGACATAACCTCCTCTGGAGGCTGGCGTGGTGAGTCCAGTCCCTATCTTCAGTTTGTCAAAGTGGACAAAGCCAACGACAATGGCCAGTACCAGCTACTAGGCATCCCCAGTCTTAGCAGTTGGTGGTACTGGAGCTTCCCTATCCAAGATTTCAAGGGATTTCTAGGGTACCACTAAACAGCTTTTGTTGTTCCATCTGCTCTTATTTGAAGAAAGGGCCGATCTGTTGAGAAGCACATAGGAAAACCATTTCAGTAAGAGTATAGCAACTGTTGCTGAGACTGTCACATTCCCCCTCCTCCTCCTCCCTCTTCCTAGAAATGTGCAATGAAAATTAATCCCCATGATGGGCCGGTTGTGCTTTCAATGCACAGTTGGCAGAACCTAAGGGAATTCTAGGATTCTCTGGGATGAATATTTGAAGTATAACACAGTCATGTTTATTCACACTTGCATTCCAAAAACACATTGGACAAACACATCCAGTTCACCTGTGCCAGAATTACAAAGATGGGAAAAGAAGGACTACATACAAACAAGTGAAAGACGTAATCAAATGGCTTTTAAATATCTGCTGTTTCCACTGAAGGTCTTCTTCTCTGGATACACCTACCAGTGTCTTCTCTTTCTCCAAATCAGACATTCAGGTGTCAGACCCTGAAATCAGTTTTCTGGTTCCAGCTTGTTCTTCCCCATTCTGTCTCGCTGCCCCTCCACTCTCTTCTTTCATATGCAGGAAAGGTCAGCTCTCCCTCACTTTCTAATTTGCAATATCCCACTCAAAGAATGCAATGACCAGCATCAAAAATTAGACACCATCCATGGGACTCCTTCTCTGTCTTAGTTGGAGCTTCTATAACAATGTACCATAAATTAGGTGGCTCATCCACAACAGACATTTCTCACAGTTATGGAGTTTGGAAGTCTAAGATCAAGGTGCCAGCATGGTAGGATTAGGGTGAGGAACCTCTTCCTGGTCGTAGATTACCATCTTCCCACTGTATCTGCAGGTGGCTGAAAGAGGGGGAGAGAGCTCTCTAGTGTCCCTTTTATAGGGGCACTAATCCCACTCAGGAGGACTCCACCCTCTGGATCAAATTACCACCCAAAGGTCCCTCGTACTAATTTTAACACATTTCCTGGAGTGGGTGGGGGAAGGTCAGGGTTTCAACCAAGGCATTTTGGGGGGACACAAACATTAGGTCTCCTGTGATCTTTCTAGAAGAAGAAGAAATTAAAACTGACCCAAAGCTTCAAAATAAAGAAAACTTTTTCTAAGATTTTGAAAGGCCTGAAACATGAGCTTCCTCCCAACCCACCCAATCACTAAAATCTGGACTCTGTGCTGAGTGTTGTGGACTTTTTGTGTGTTCATCCTCCCTGCAAGCAACTGAAGATTTATTCTCTCCAGAGGGTAGAAGAGAAGATCTATTGGGAGAACCCACCCCCAATATTTCAATGTAGGGTTCTTTCTATTTTCCATAAGTGTCAGCTGACTGAGAAATAAAGAGAGACAGTACGAAGAGAGGAATTTTACAGCTGGGCCACCAGGAGTGACATCACATATTGGTAGGACCATGATCCCTGCCTGAGTCTCAGACCAGCAAGTTTTTATCAAGGGTTTCAAAAGGGGAGGGGGTATAAGAATGGAGAGTAGCTACAAAGATCACATGCTTCAAAGGGCAAAGAGCAGAACCACTGATAAGGGTGTAACAAAGTTCACATGCTTCTGAGGGAACAGGGCAAAGGGCAAAAGCAGAACCACTGATAAGGGTCCAACAAAGATCACAGGGCAAAGGGCAAAAGCAGAACCACTGATAGGGGTCTATGTTCAGTGGTGCATGTATTGTCTTGATAAACATCTTAAACAACAGAAAAAAGGGTTCCAGAGCAGAGAATCGGTCTGACCACAAATTTACCAGGGCTGAGTTTTCCCCCACCCTAGTAAGCCTGAGGGTTCTGCAGGAGACCAGGGCTTATCTCAGTCCTTATCTCAACTGCACAAGACAGACATTCCCAGAGTGGCCATTCAAAGACCTCCCCCCAGGGATGCATCCTTTTCCCAGGGTATTAATGTTAATACTCCTTGTTAGGAAAAGAATTTAGCGATAAGTTGCCCACTTGCATGTCCGTTTATAGGCCCACTGCAAGAAGGAAAATATGGCTCTTTTTGCCCGATCCCACAGGCAGTCAGACCTTATGGTTGTCTTCCCTTGTTCCACAAAAATCACTATTATTCTGTTCTTTTTCAAGATGCATTGATTTCATAGTGTTCAAACACACACGTCTTACAATCAATTTGTACAATTAACACAGTTATCACAGTGGTCCTGAGGTGATGCACATCCTAAGCTTATGAAGATAACAGGATTAAGAGATTAAAGTAAAGACAGGCACAAGAAATTATAAAAGTATTATTTGAGAACTGATAAATGTCCATATTAAGATAAAATCTTCACAACTTACGTTCCTCTGCTGCAGCTCCAGCCAGTCCCTCTGTTTCGGGTCCCTGACTTCTGGTAACAAAGATCCTTGGGCCCAAGGGGGCAATCAGCATAGATAAGCGAAGACTTGCATCCCACACTGAAATGAAAGGGATGAAGTGACAGCATATCTTGATCTATGTGATGGTTACATGAGTTATGACCTATTTCAAAGCTTATTATGCTGTGTGAAAAAGAACAAAACCAGAGGACTTGCACAACCTGACATTCAGACTCACTCTAAGCTGTTATAAACAAGGCAGTGTGCAAGCGGCATTGGGAGACACAAATACTTCAACAGACTGACTTGGGAGACC